TACATCAGAGCTGCAGCATGTATGTTTGCTGAGCGGGTGCTGGAAAAGAATCATTTATTTTTATGAATTAAAAAAAGAGCACAGGGAGAGTAGAAGAAAGCAAGAATAAAGTGTAGGGCATTTAGGAGTGATGGGGGGATTCAAACAGGTTTCTTCAAACTGATTTTCTGTAAATGTTCCAACTTTTTGCTCTTAAAGGAGAGAGTTTCATAGATTTACGATTTTTTACAGTTCTCAACAATCTTCCTTAACTTCACTAAAATATAGCTCTGTGGTCCACCCAGCTCCAGTCTTTGGGTTTTGGTACTGGAAATTGCACTTAAGGGTTAGAAGAGGTTTTTTCTTTTAGGAGGGTTATAGAAGGATATCTAGGTGTCATATGACCTGAGTTTAATGAGGTTTACTGCTCTGAAAATATAATCTGGGTGTCCCATCATTCTAATTAACCTTATGCTTTCTTGACTAGTCTGAGCATGAGGCACACAGGTACTGGGTGTAAAAAACAGGGTTACAGAAAAAGAAGGAGAAGATAAAGAGTCAGGTGTACTGACAAGAACTGAATAGACAAAAGAAAGCTCCTACCTGAGGGGGAGATTGCTCTACTTGCAATCAGTGGGCTGCAAACATTTTGTATGAAGGGAACAAAGAAAGATGTGAGGAGCAGGAGAGCACAATTTTGACCAAGAAAAATTATTTCTGTGAAATAACTGGCTTCTAGTTTGACAAGGGTGAGAGACCTTTAGATCTGTGAATGCATTGCTACAAAAGCATTGAAATTGTGCATTGGGAGAACTGCAAGGTTTGAGGAACTATGTGTTCCTTTCTTGATCTGAACCAGCACAGACTTGGTATACCTTTTTTTACTGCTTTCTGTGAGAGAATCACAACAACAGAGAAGGCTATATGGACCTGCTATATTCAATTTTAAGGTGAAAAAATTGTTAGCCTGTGGACACCTAATAGGGAAGAAGCTCAGAGAGAGTAAAATCAGTGTGAGATAGTAAGGTATCCACTTGTTTGTCACTCACATCATTGCTAGAAGGTGCAGCAACATCCAAGCAAGATCAACAGCAGTCTTGTGGAGCTGTGTGTTTCAACTGGTTCAGCTGGTTCTTTAAGGTCAAAATCTGTTTTGACATCCTTCCTCCATGTCTGGCTCTTTTAAGCTGCTCAAAAAAACTGTTTGTAACTTGTGTTGCCATGACTTCTGAAAAAAATAAGAAAGCACCCAAAACCTTCCAGTTAGAGAAGTGAGAAGCTGTAGAGCACAGATAGTAGCAACAGAGCTCAGTGTTCCTGCAGGAACATGCTCACAGTTTAGCAGTACTTCCCAGCTTTAAGTAAAAAAAGGCTTTAGGAAGAAAGAAAAAAAAAAAGCGCCATAAACTAATAAAGTTTGGTTTCCTGTGGATTTAGTGTCATTACTGATTGTAAGCTATGATTGAAGCTTTTCCCTTTTTAGGGCATTTATAGGTACTGTTTCACATGTAGATCCTCTGCTGCCTAATACGAGCAGCTCACTTTTTGGCTTCCCCGCTGTGGGAATCCTAAAGAGTTTTTCTGTCCTCTACCACCCACCAGTTGTTGAACTGGATTCAAAAAGCCATGAGAATAGGTCAGGATTAGCTGACATTTACAAGCTGATACATACATTTACAAGGGCATAAAAAACCACATGTAATGTGATCACTTTATCAGGCTAAAAAAAATCTTTTTTCAACTTTCAAAATAATTTGTGATGATCTTTTGAGGTGAGGGAGAGTGGTGACACTGCTTATTTTATCCAAAACTTTTAATATATCTTATAGTATCTTTACACATCATAAAAGTATATTCAGAATAAAAAACGCTTGTTGCCAGTGATTTAAGCTGTCAAATAAAAAAGGTATGCTGCTATCTAGCTGAAGAAATGTATTAGCATGCAGAAAGCAATGCTGCTGCCTCTGGGAGGTTTTAATCAAGCCTCTTGTACTGATTGAGATGCAGTGCTCAAAAGTGAGAAAAATTATTAACAAAATCAAAAATCTAGAGCGTTTTTCACACATTCATCAGTGTATCTTCTGTAATTACATAACCAATAAATCAACATAGTGTCTAAGTGCTTCAGTCACAGTGTAAATATCTTAATGACCGAAACATCTTCACACATGAATAATTTATACCTGTATGATGCATTTTTCATACCCATGCTTTACTTCAACATGATAAACTAATCCTTCTCTGTCAGGGAATGTGTGCTTGATTATTGCCTTCTGATTTCTCTTCCTTGTGTTTATTTTCCACAGTTAGACACACTCCATTTCTTCTCTTCTGGTTCCTCTAATGTAGTTATCTTATTTATTCATCCTGTCTGCCTTGGTTTGCCTTCCCAGTGCATTTCAGCAGGCACCTGGGAAATAACGCTAGAGCATAAGCTGATCATGTGTTTCTCAAGTAACTCCAGAGCAGCACCTTGAAAGATTTGCTCATTCTCAACAGATATTTGCATTTAGCTTCCTCTCCTCTCCTCAAGGCAATCGTTACAGAAAGAACTTGCAATTGGCCAATAACAACTTTAGCTTTGCCATTTTCTGGATCGATGCGAGTTCAAACCTTTGTCACGGTACTGATGACAAATGTTGTTTGAGTCTTCTTCCCATATGTTTGTAAAAGAGAGCTTGCTTTTAGCTCCAGAAACCACTGGAATATTCGAGAAGAAAATAATGGTTTCTCAGTGCAGGAATGGGAATCAGGAATTCTTAAATTCTGGTCTGCTGCGCATGCTTATTTGGCTGTATGCAAGTCACTGTGTGAATCCTGCCTTACTTAGACCCTTAACCACGGTATCTAAGACAGGGGGTTGATTGCCATAACCTCCTTCTTTAGTTAGTAGAGAGAGACAGATAGCTGCTGAGGGCAGTTCATCCAGCTTTAAAGCTATTTAGTGCCTGAAGCTCCAGGCAGGAAT